CTAGCTAAGCAGCAGAGTAAAAGGTCATGGAGAAACTATAGGAATAACAGGACACTTGAGAGCAGAGAAAGATACCAGAGTGCCAGGAATGAATTTGTCAGGATGAGAAGAGAGGCAGAAGGGCAGAAGGGCAGAAAATGACATCGCAAGCAAGGCAAAGACTCAACCTAAATTGTTGCACAGCTACACAAGGAGAAAAACAACAAAAAAGAAACAGGTAATGAAATTGAGGATAGGAGAAGACAGATTCACTACAAACGACAAGGAAGTGGGCAAGGAACTGAATACGAAATTCCAGGAGGTCTTCACATTAGAGCAAGGATAAGTTCCAGAGATAAGAGAGGAAATAGTCAACCAAGCACCTCTTGAAGAGTTTGAGATTACCATCGGGGAAGTAAGGAAGCTTTTACTAGAGTTGGATGTGACAAAGGCTATAGGCCCAGATGGAATCTTCCCTTGGATACTAAAGGAAGGAGCAGAAACACTGTGCCTGCCGCTCTCCGTGGTGTATAATAAATCACTGGTAACAGGAGAACTGCCCAAAATTTGGAAGACGGCCAATGTAGTCCCGATATACAAGAAGGAAGATAGACAGGAGGCACTGAACTACAGACCAGTGACCCTAACCTGCATACCATGCAAGCTGATGGAGAAGATTGTGAGAAAAAAGCTAGTGGAACATCTAGAGCGAAAGAACTTTGTAACGCAGCATCAACATGGGTCCAGGGATGGCAAGTCCTGCCTCACATGATTAATTGGGTTCTACGACCAGGCAACAAAAATCAGGCAAGAAAGAGAGGGGTGGGCAGACTGCATATTTTTGGATTGCCAGAAAGCCTTTGACACAGTACCACACAAGAGACTAGTGCACAAGCTGGAGATGCAGGCAGGAGTGAAAGGGAAGGTACTCCGTTGGATAAGGGAGTACCTAAGCAACAGAAGACAGCGAGTCACCGTGAGGGGTGAGGTCTAAGATTGACGAGGAGTCACCAGTGGAGTCCCGCAGGGTTCAGTCCTTGGACCTATACTGTCTCTGATATATGTAAATGATCTCCCAGAGGGTATAGAATCGTTCCTCTTATTGTTTGATGATGATTCAAAAATTTTGAGGATTAAAACAGGAAGATAGTATGAGGCTACATGATGACTTAGACTGAATGAATGGTCCACCAAACGGCAACTAAAGTTCAACCCGAGTAAATGTAAGGTAATGAAATTAGGCAGTGGAAACAGGAGGCCAGACACAGGATACAGAATGGGAGAAGAATTACTGCATGAAACAGACAGAGAGAAATATCTAGGAGTTGATATCTTTATTTTTTTTATTAATACATTAGGGATATGCATATGTGCAGCTACCCTAGACTATATGAAGGGGAGTACAGTGTGTCAAAAAGCTAGCTACGTGATGCTAAAAAATCTCCATCACACAGGACGGTTAGTCATACAGAGGCATGTGATAAGTAGTCTGCACTGACAAACTCTGGGTGCATTATGAGGATATCATCAACACAAGAGTGAATAAGGCAGCAGTGATACTAAAAGTCCCCATCTCGCAGGATGGTTAGTCATACAGGGCCACACGTTCAGTAGCCTGCACTGGCAATATTTTGGGTGTAATATGAGGATATCTTCAAGAACAGGAGAGTGAATAACGTAATTGCAAAGCTCAAGGTAACTCATACCAACTGGTCTGAAAGGTCTAATAACTGGGCATTCGGTGATATTGTGTGGGAGATCATGCCGCAGTTCCTGCTCACAGAGTTTGCACCTGGAGTGCTCAGGATTGGGAGATCCGTCACCTGCAGCCACCTGCCACAGGTAACGGTAACCCAACCTGATCCTGGCAACTACTGTGTCGCACAGTCTAGTGGACGTTTTGTGCTGCCCATAGATATAGGTTTCAGATCTGAGCATATCAGAGCTTTTTATACTAGTGCCTTCAGGTCGTTGGGAGTCAGCAATTTCTTTTTTATCAGACCTGAGTGTTTGGACCAATATAGTTTTGATAGCAGAGATCGGGATACCGAGAAGTAATTCAACTTCATCTTTGTTGCACGCTAATTTGTCAATCACACCAAACCTGTCTCCCGAAGCCCACATAAATAGAATTACGTCTGCGACATATGCGAGGCTGGCTAACATCAGAACTGCCTTCAGGAACCTGTGTAAGGAATCATTCAAAACCTTGTACACCACATATGTAAGACCAATCCTGGAGTATGCGGCCCCAGCATGGAGCCCGTACCTTGTCAAGCACAAGGCAAAGCCGCGTGAAATGCACCTCACGACACTGGAAGACAAAAGAGTATGGAGAGACATGATCACAACCTAGAAAATCCTCAGGGGAATCGACCGGGTAAACAAGGATAAACTATTCAACACTGGTGGTGCTCCAACAAGGGGACACAGGTGGAAACTGAGTACCCAAATGAGCCACAAAGGGCGTTAGGAAAAACTTTTTCAGTGTCAGAGTAGTTAACATGTGGAATACATTAGGCAGCGATGTGGTGGAGGCTGACTCCGAACACAGTTTCAAATGTAGATATGAGTAGGTAGTAGGTATTCCAGTAGGCTCAGGAATCTGTACATCAGTTGATTGATAGTTGAGAGGCGGGACCAAAGAGCCAAAGCTCAACCCCCGCAAGCACAACTAGGTGAGTACAACTAGGTGAACTAGGTGAGTACACACACACACAAGAGTCAATGCTCGATCCTGCAGACACAAATTAGGTGAGTACACACACACACAAGAGTCAATGCTCGATCCTGCAGACACAAATTAGGTGAGTACACACACACACAAGAGTCAATGCTCGATCCTGCAGACACAAATTAGGTGAGTACACACACACACAAGAGTCAATGCTCGATCCTGCAGACACAAATTAGGTGAGTACACACACACAAACAAACGACCAACACTTCCCAGAAGGAAAGACATGCCACATAAACCAACTAGAGTTCTACATGAGGAGTTCCCAAGATCACACAACAAGAACCTGAACCATGAGTCTAAGGGTCTAAGAACCATGTTCTTAGACCCTTAATAACCACGTGCCCCTGACGCTCTCCCGTCACCAGACGGTCAGAAATAGGCTTAACAATCAGACTTGAACAATCACCGACGGCCTCGCTTATTGCCGAACCGAGTTCAATCCCCAACGGTCCAAATGGTTCGGCACTGTTCTTTCCCTGCCTCCTATCCCAGAGCCTTATCCTAATATTCCTTCCAAGTCCAGTATAATCAAACTGACTCGGGGCTTTCTCCTCATACTTATCTTACCTAACATATATCAGGGGGGTCCCAGGAGTATGAGGGAAGTCCCGAGAGTATGAGGGAAGTCTCAGGAGTATAAGCGGGGGGGGGGGGGGGTACCAGGAGTATGAAGGGGGTCCCAGTAGTATGAGGGGGTCCCAGGAGTATGAAGGGGTCCCAGGAGTATAAGCGGGGGGGGGGGGGGTACCAGGAGTATGAAGGGGGTCCCAGTAGTATGAGGGGGTCCCAGGAGTATGAAGTGGTCCCAGGAGTATGAGGGAAATCCCAGGAGTATGAGGGGGTCCCAGGAGTATGAGGGAGGTCCCAGGAGTTTGAGGGAAGTCCCGAGAGTATGAGGGAAGTCTCAGGAGTATAAGCGGGGGGGGGGGTACCAGGAGTATGAAGGGGGTCCCAGTAGTATGAGGGGGTCCCAGGAGTATGAAGGGGTCCCAGGAGTATGAGGGAAATCCCAGGAGTATGAGGGAGGTCCCAGGAGTATGAAGGAAGTCTCAGGAGTATAAGGGGGGTACCAGGAGTATGAGGGGGGTCCCAGGAGTATAAGGGGGGGTATCAGGGGAGTCCCAGGAGTATGAGGGGGTCCCAGGAATATAAGGGGGGTACCAGGAGTATGAGGGGGTCCCAGGAGTATAAGGGGGGTATCAGGGGAGTCCCAGGAGCATCAGGGGAGTCCCAGGAGTATGAAGGGGGTCCCAGGAGTATCAGGGGAGTCCCAGGAGTATGAGAGGGGTCCCAGGAGTATGAGGGGGGTCCCAGGAGTATCAGGGGAGTCCCAGGAGTATGAGAGGGGTGCCAGAAGTATGAGAGGGGGGTCCCAGGAGTATGAAGGGGGTCCCAGGAGTATGAGAGGGGTCCCAGGAGTATGAGGGTGGTCCCAGGAGTATGAAGGGGTCCCAGGAGTATCATGAGAGTCCCAGGAGAGCAGAGACGCTGGCTGGTGTGTGTATACATCAGCACCACAGCTGTTGGGATGGTCGGACATGTGGGTACTGGATTTCAACACAAACAGTTGCAAGGTCATATGTCTGGGATCATGAATAAGATGAGAAGAACAATACGTAGCTAACTGGAGGAGCTTAACACCGAGGAGCTCGTCCTGGATCAGCTTAGAGAAAGCTTAACGCCCTTTCCCCAAGACGCACACGTCAATCGACAGCATATGCTACACTGGCGAACAACATCGGAAACCCCAGAGAGTGCTTTGAGGACGCTGGATACAACCTACGTCCTACCAATGGTAGAGAGTGCAGCGGCGGCCACACATTCAGGAGCACAGTACCAGGGATGTTAGATGACTGATGCGAGAGCGGCCCGGCCTCAGCTCTGAGAGTAAACGTGCCATTCAGGAAGCTGTCAAGCAGGTGTTCCACTGAGGGAGCTGAGGAGACAATTCCTCAGTGTAAGGAGAGCCAACAAGTGGAGGGAACTGGAAGAAGAGTGACATATTGCACGATGCAACAGGACTCCGTACGAGGCTCAAGAGCTGGAGTCCGACCCAGCACACTCCGACACACACACAAACATGACCGCCACGCAAATTACACCACAAATGAATACATATTAAACACTTACAGGGAGAGAGATCCACATAAACCATCAACAACGCCATTAACACAGTTATCATCAACATCATCACTATCATCAACGCCATTAACACAGTTATCATCATCATCATCACTATCATCAACGCCATTAACACAGTTATCATCAACAGAGTGTCAACATGGACCTCCGGCCGCCTGGGGACCAAGACCAAGTTCTGGCCAGGCTTCGTGGCCCGCTGGCCGCTGACGACCCTCGAGTCTTGGACATATTACGTCGCCATTACCTGACTCCGCCATCCACCAGGCCCTACAACCTGTCCACCGATCCCCTCTACATCAAACTGAAGCATTACGGTAGTTGGAAAAGCATTTACAAGCAAATCAAACAGCTTTTCGGCGCCCAGCGCGGAGGATTTTTCATCGAAGCCGGAGCCCTGGATGGGGAGAGGCTTTCGAACACCCTCTGGCTTGAACGGTACCTGGGATGGACTGGCTTGCTGGTGGAGCCAAGCCCCGTCAACTACCGCATCTTGCAAACCAAGCAACGGAAGGCTTGGACCTCCCACACCTGCCTATCCGTCGAACCCTTCCCGAAAAGGGAGATTATGGTCACTCTTGGCCGGAAAGCCAGAACGGAAAGTAGTGTAGAGTCGATGATGTACGCACCGCACGGGTCGTCCTTCCTGCGGGGAGTCACTCTTGACTCTCACATATACGACAACTTGCTGCAACTGTCCGAAAAGTCGTATTCAGTCGTGCAGTGCTTCCCTCTACTGTCGTACCTCTTGGCCTTGAACGTGTCGGAGGTGGACCTCCTGTCCCTGGACGTCCAGGGAGCGGAGAAGGCCGTCCTCAGACACGTCCCCTGGCAGACGCTGAGGATTCGCGTCCTGGTGGTCGAAGTGGTCCACCGGGAGAGTTTCGACCACGACTTCGCCGACTACATGAAGAGCGTCAACTACACCCTGGTACACTTCGAGGGGGAAGACTACACCTTCGTCAGAAACGACGACCCGGCGCTCAGGAACGTCGACGTCGTGGGCATTTACGTCTGACGAAGCGCCTCGACTCCCCAGCGGCCTCACTATCCAAGAGTAACGTCGATTCTACGTCATTAACGTTGATTAAACGTTGAAGTAAGATATTGTGGTCAGTGAAACGATCGTTAGTGGGCCTTCCAGACCGCTAACTGAATTTGCCACTCCGTAAGAAACGCGACTGTTTCTGCTTAACCAGTTACGCATGAACCCAACCAATCCTCCTAACCTGTCGCAGCCGATTGATAGAAACTGCCGAATTATTGTGGTTTAACTTTGACTAATAAGTCGTATTTTGGACGTATTAATTGATAACTTATCATAATTATTATTATTATTATTATTATTATTAAATTGCACAGAATAATCACAATGACGTGATTGTAACAATGAGAAAATCCGTAGGAGCAGTGATGAGGATTCGAACCTATGAGGTGGGTGTTCCCGCGCACACGCACTAGCGACTAGACCAGGACATAGTATAAAGAGATATCAACCTGGAGTTCTACTGAACACACGAGGGTTTCCTGAGCTTCCACCGAAGCCGGAACAGGATTTTCACACAATCTTCCGCCAAGCACTCTGGCTGTGTCGTCACTGTGTGATTACTCTCTGTGGAGTGAGCGGAGAGGCAGAGGTAGAACAGCGCTGGGCGACAAAGCCAGAGTGCACGGGGGGGGGGGGTGAATGTTAAAATCCATGTCTGGCTTCAGTTGAAGCCTCAGGGAACCCTCGTGTGTTCAGTCAAACTTCAGATTGATATCTTTTTACCATATCATGGTCTAATCGCTAGAAGCGTGTGCGTGGCAATACCTGCCGAATAGGTTCGAACCCTCATCACTTCTCCTACGGATTTTCTCATATATATATTATTATTATTGGATAAAAACTCCACACTTGAGTATTTGTGAAATCATATGTAAAGATTTACACCAATTCTCTCACAGTCTGAGTGTTTTGTCAAGGTCTGAGTGTGTCACTAAGACGACACATCTCAACGACTAATGCCGTTGTACTAGAGCATTAGTCGTTGAGACGGAAGCCTCGACCCAACGACACACTCAGACCTTAACTAAGCACTCAGGAGAGTGTGAAAGACTTGGTGTAAATCTTTACATAACATTCACTAATACATAAGTGTGGGGTTTTTATCCTATGTTATTATGTCTGTGAGAAGGCTTGACTAATTATTATTACTATTATTAGATAATAAAAATAACTCGTTATGTAATGATAATTTATTGTTATTATATAAAAATAATACCGATTATTGTTCTTATTTGTGATTATTCTATTTCAAGAAAACAGAGTTAAATATATAAGAATGTAGAGATAATTGACTTACTGAAATGTTTAAAAATATGAAAGTTAAAGGTAATGTAATATATGAATATACAACACTGGATCATCATACAGATATACTTATACAACACTGGATCATCATACAGATATACTTATACAACACTGGACCATCATACAGGTATTCTTATACAACACTGGACCATCATACAGGTATTCTTATACAACACTGGACCATCATACAGGTATTCTTATACAACACTGGACCATCATACAGATATACAACACTGGACCATCATACAGGTATACTAATACAACACTAGATCATCATACAGGTATACTCATACAACACTAGACCATCATACAGGTATACTCATACAACACTGGACCATCATACAGGTATACTTATACAACACTGGACCATCATACAGGTATACTCATACAACACTGGACCATCATACAGATATACTTATACAACACTGGACCATCATACAGGTATACTTATACAACACTGGACCATCATACAGGTATACTAATACAACACTAGATCATCATACAGGTATACTCATACAACACTAGACCATCATACAGGTATACTCATACAACACTGGACCATCATACAGGTATACTTATACAACACTGGACCATCATACAGGTATACTTATACAACACTGGACCATCATACAGGTATACTAATACAACACTGACTATCATACAGATATACTTATACAACACTGGACCATCATACAGGTATACTTATACAACACTGGACCATCATACAGGTATACTTATACAACACTGGACCATCATACAGGTATACTTATACAACACTGGACCATCATACAGATATACTTATACAACACTGGACCATCATACAGGTATACTCATACAACACTGGACCATCATACAGGTATACTTATACAACACTGGACCATCATACAGATATACTTATACAACACTGGACCATCATACAGGTATACTCATACAACACTGGACCATCATACAGGTATACTTATACAACACTAGACCATCATATTAACATACACAAACATAACCTCCCTTCGTTACTGCTCTAATATTACTGTAAGTTAAAATCTGATGATGTCACCATCTCACTTTACTAATATATGCATCTGACCTCTGGCTGCGTATGCCGGGACCCTTAGCCTCAGTGAAGAAAACAGTATGGCATTCAAGGGATGCAATTTTGCCAAACACGGATATTGTTTTCTCTTACCATACTCACTTACATATATGGTGTTCCATATATACACAAACGCTCTATATATATATATACATATATATATATATATATATATATATATATATATATATATATATATATATATATATATATATATATATATATGTCGTACCTAGTAGCCAGAATGCACTTTTCGGCCTACTATGCAAGGCCCGATTTGACTAATAAGCCAAGTTTTCCTGAATTAATATATTTTCTCTAAGTTTTTTCTTATGAAATGATAAAGCTACCCATTTCATTACGTATGAGGTCAATTTTTTTTTTTGGAGTTAAAATTAACGTAGATATATGACCGAACCTAACCAACCCTACCTAACCTAACCTAACTTATCTTTATAGGTTAGGTTAGGTTAGGTAGCCAAAAAAGTTAGGTTAGGTAGTCGAAAAACAATTAATTCATGAAAACTTGGCTTATTAGGCAAATTGGGCCTTGCATAGTAGGCTGAGAAGTGCGTTCTGGCTATTAGGTACGACATATATATATATATATATATATATATATATATATATATATATATATATATTAGTATATTTTGGTAGCAGTCTTTCCTGTAGACATATATTATTAAATATGACCGAAAAAGTAAGATTAATAATTCTAACACGAATTTTTCTATCTTTCTTATGTTTCTTTTCACTGTTGATGGTAATTCAAAGATCAATTCTCCAAAATTCATTTTTATTTCTAGTCTGATGCGACACTTGAGCGCGTTTCGTAAAACTTATTACATTTACAAAGACTTTAGTTTACAAACACACAACTGAAACTGAATAGAGCTTACACATCTTCGAGGTTTATATCTACATTTGGGTGAGGTGGATGAGGTGAAAAACGAACTTTCAACAATGGGTATTCAATGGGTATTAAATTCCAACACAAGACAGAACACGAAACAATGGGTATTGAATGGGTATTAAATTTAAACACAAGACAGAACACGAAACAATGGGTATTGAATGGAAGTAATTGTAGAAAGCCTATTGGTACATATTTCTTGATGCTTCTATACTGGAGCGGAGTCTTGAAGTGGGTAAAATATAGTTGTGCATTAATTGGCTGTTGATTGCTGGGGTTGACTTCTTGATGTGTAGTGCCTCGCAGACGTCAAGCCGCCTGCTATCGCTGTATCTATCGATGATTTCTGTGTTGTTTGCTAAGATTTCTCTGGTGATGGTTTGTTTGTGGGAAGAGATTATATGTTCCTTAATGTAGCCCTGTTGCTTATGCATCGTTAAACGCCTGGAAAGAGATGTTGTTGTCTTGCAAATATACTGTTTTTCTTGAGGCTTACAGTCCCCAAGAGGGCATTTGAAGGCATAGACGACGTTGGTTTCTTTTTAAAGCGTTCTGCTTCGTGTCTGGAGAGTTTCTCATGAGTAGGCTGGCCGTTTTTCTGGTTTTATAGTAAATCGTCAGTTGTATCTTCTGATTTTTGTTTGTAGGGATAACGTTTCTACTGACAATATCTTTCAGGACCCTTTCCTCCGTTTTATGGGCTGTGGAAAAGAAGTTCCTGTAAAATAGTCTAATAGGGGGTATAGGTGTTGTGTTAGTTGTCTCTTCAGAGGTTGCATGGCGTTTCACTTTCCTTCTTATGATGTCTTCCATGAAACCATTGGAGAAGCCGTTGTTGACTAGGACCTGCCTTACCCTACAGAGTTCTTCGTCGACTTGCTTCCATTCTGAGCTGTGGATGAGGGCACGGTCGACATAAGCGTTAACAACACTCCTCTTGTACCTGTCCGGGCAGTCACTGTTGGCATTCAGGCACATTCCTATGTTTGTTTCCTTAGTGTAGACTGCAGTGTGGAAAACTCCGCTCCTTTCCATGACTGTTACATCTAGAAAGGGCAGCGTCCCATCCTTCTCCATCTTGTAAGTGAAACGCAACGCAGAATTCTGCTCAAATGCCTCCTTCCGCTCCTGCAGATGTCTGACGTCAGGTACCTGTGTAAAAATGTCGTCAACATGCCTGCAGTATATGGCCGGTTTCAAGTTCATGTCGACTAAGACTTTTTGTTCGATGGTACCCATGTAGAAGTTTGCAAACAGGACAACTAGGGGAGAACCCATGGCGACCCCATCTACTTGCTTATACATGTGTCCATCCGGGCTCAAGAAGGGTGCCTCTTTAGTACAAGCTTGGAGTAGTTTCCTTTGACTGTTTTCTGGTATGTCAAGAGGAGTACAGGCCGGATCACGGTACACTCTGTCGGCTATCATCCCGATTGTTTCATCCACAGGTACGTTGGTAAACAGAGATTCTACGTCCAATGAGGCTCTTATCCCTGTGGCCCGTGTTCCCCGCAGTAAGTCAACAAATTCCTTTGGAGACTTCAGGCTGAAGGCGCAAGGGACATAAGGAGTCAGCAAGCCGTTGAGTCATTTTGCCAGTCTGTACGTGGGTGTGGGTATCTGGCTGATGATTGGCCAAAGTGGGTTTCCAGGCTTGTG